CGTCACTGAAGCAAGCAAGCCTCATGTTAGTTTCAAGCTGCCTGGCTGCTGGCCGCCATCTTGGCTGACAGTTAATTTGCATATCTCGCTGATTAGCCAATGAAAAAGGTAGCGGTCGTACGCCAATTACCATGTTTCTCTTTTATTAGTGTAGATATTTTCATTGATTTCAGAGAAGAAGGGAGACAAAGAGAGGTGACCTTTGAGCAAGGTACATGGGTGACCTCTTCATGTGACAATAGCTTTGAAAGATGGATTTCTGTAGGTAGAAGAGAAAGACGATCCGCGGGCCTGCTGGAGCAAATTTGGGTTTGTTTGTTGTTGTGAATCCTCCCCCGAGGATAGTTTCCCATTGATTTTTAGGGAGAGTGGAAGGGCGAGGGAGAGACAGAGAGAAACATCGATGTGAGAGAGACACATCGATGGGTTGCCTCCTGCATGCACCCTGACCAGGGCCGGGGAACCTGTAACCGAGGTCCGTGCCCTTGACCCAGAATCAAACCCGGGACCTTTCAGCCTGCGGGCTGTCACTCTATCCACTGAGCCACACCAGCCGGGGCTTAAATTTGTTTTTTGAAATTTATAGCTTAGCAACATTTCTTCCATCTCCACAGAGTGATGGATCATGTCATGTAAATTGTAATCAAATTTGAAAAAAAAAAAACAACCCAAAGTTTCTTTCCTATTTAAACAGCAAGATTTTCAAGGGATTTCAATTTTTTTCCCCCACTGTGTCTGCATCTTTTCTGTTTAATATTGACCTTGCCCAGCAATTTTCAACCTTCTTCAGCTCACAGCACACACACACTAAATGACTAAAATTCTGTGGCACGCCAAAAAATATATTTCTTGCCAGTCTGACAAAAAAAAATAGGTATAATTTTGATGGATTTACAGAACATTACTAGTAGTAATAAAAATTACTAGTAGTAATGAAAATAGTAATTACCTACCCTTTGGGCTCCAAAGTGACTTTTAAAGAAATCAGTTGCCTAGACTTGAATGTAAGGATTTCTGGTACCAAGAATCAACCAATCAGATGCCACCTTAGTATGGGAAGTGACCAATGAGATGCAACTCTGTTATGTGACCCATAGATTTATGGCTTAAGACAGGGCAGGGCGTTCACACCGGAAGGCTGTTGTTGTGTTGGCCCGTGTTGTTGTTTTTTATTTGACAATCTAAGAGAAAAGGGGTCCATGCCTTTCACTAACTAGTCAGGTATTGTGTGTTTTATTCATTTACTAGAGGCCCGGTGCACGAAATTCGTGCACGGGTGGGGTCCCTCGGCCGGGCTGGCGATCAGGACCGGCTGGGGCCTTCCTTCCAGCTGCCGGCCGGGACCTTCCTTCATTCCGCACCGCCCCCTGGTGGTTAGTGCACATCATAGCAAGCAATCGAACTCCTGGTCTCTTGATCAAACTCCCGACTGGACAATATGCATTTTATATAGAGAGATTATTGCCTTTTATATAGAGAGATTATTATTATTTTTTAATCCTCACCTGAGGATATTTTTCCATTGATTTTTAGAGAGAGTGGGAGGGAGAGGGAGAGACAGAGAGAAACATCGATGTGAGAGAGACACATCGATGGGCTGCCTCCTGAACGCACACCTCACCCTTGACCAGAATCGAACCCGGGCCCCTTTGGTCTGCAGGTCGACGCTCTATCTACTGAGCCAAACTGGCCAGGGCGGTATTGGGTGTTCTAATTTTTTTTTTTTAACAGTTAGTGGAACCGAAGTTTTGTTTTGTTTTTTATTGATTTTTTACAGAGAGGAAGGGAGAGGGGTAGAGAGAAACATCGATGAGAGAGAAACATCCATCAGCTGCCTCCTGCACACCCCCTACTGGGGATGTGCCCACAACAAAGGTCCATGCCCTTGACCGGAATCGAACCCGGGACCCTTCAGTCCGCAGGCCGACGCTCTATCCACTGAGCCACCCCGGCCAGGGCGGTATTGGGTGTTTTGAAACTTCTAGCAGCACACCAGTTGCAAATGGCTGACACGGAGCAGCGGCTCCTCCCTCGCACGAGACGCGGACACCTCTGAGGGTCTCACTGGCTTCTCTCTTCCTCTCCAAAGTGCACGGTGACCTGCGGCCGGGGGCTGCGCTACCGGGTGGTGCTGTGCATCAACCATCGCGGGCAGCACGTGGGCGGCTGCAACCCTCAACTGAAGTTACACATCAAGGAGGAGTGTGTCATCCCCGTGCCCTGTTACAAGCCCAAAGGTGGGCGTGCATTTTACTCATTCGTTCATTCATTTATCTACTCACTAGAGGCCCGGTGCACGAATTTGTGCGCGGGTGGGGTCCCGTGGCCTGGGCAGCCATCAGGGCCTCTCAGGCCCATCTCACCCAGTCCCAATGGGGGTAATGGGGCCCAGCCAGCTGGGGGGAGGGACCGTGGGAGGTTGGCTGTGGGAGCAAACTGACCACCAGGGGGCAAACATTCAATGCAGGAGCTGCCCCCCGGTGGTCAATGAGCATCATAGCAACCTGTCAACCGGTCGTTTGGACATAATGGTCGCTTAGGCTTTTATATATATAGATTATTTTTGTTAATCCTCCCCCAAGGATATTTTTCCATTCATTTCTAGAAAGAGTGGAAGGGAGGGGGAGAGAGAGAGAGAGAGAGAGAGAGAGAGAGAAACATCGATGTGAGAGAGACACATCGGTGGGTTACCTTCCACATGCACCGTGACCAGGGCCAGGGATCCAGCCGGCAACTGAGGTACGTGCCCTTGGCCGGAATCGAACCCGGGACCCTTCAGTCCGCAGGCCGACGCTCTATCCACCGAGCCACACCAACTAGCACATTGGGTTTGCGTTTTAAAGTTACATCGAATGGTGTTTCCCGGCTCTCGTTCTAATATTGCAGCGTTTACATTTCATTGTATTAACATTCTTTTTTTTAAATATGTGTTTATTTTTATTGATTTCAGAGAGGAAGGGAGAGGGAGAGAGAGAGAAACATCCATGATGAGAGAGAATCACGGACCGGCCGCCTCCTACACGCCCCCTACTGAGGATGGAGCCCACAACCCGGGCATGTGCCCTGACCACTTGGTTCATAGGAGACCTCCTGGTTCATAGGCCGATGCTCAACCACTGAGCTACGCCAGCTGGGCCACAAGAGTAACTTTGTATCATTATTTCTGAGCACAGACACATTGGATGTTTGGACTTTTTAAAAAAATATATTTTTTATTGAGTTTTAGAGAGAGAGATTGGCGCTTGTGGCTTCTGCTCTTTCCTTAGAGAAGACCCCGGTGGAGGCAAAGCTGCCTTGGCTGAAGCAAGCCCGGGAGCTGGAGGAGACCCGGGTGGCGACGGAAGAACCAACGTGAGTAGAGGACCTTCTTATCTTTATTGACGTCAGAGAGGAGGGGAGACAAAGAGAGAAACATCAACGATGAGAGAGAATCACTGATCGGCCGCCTCCTGCACGCCCCCCACTGGGGATGGAGCCCGCCGCCCGGGCCTGTGCCCTGACCGGGAATCGAACCCTGACCTCCTGGTCCCTAGGTCGATGCTCACCCACTGAGCCACACCGGCCGGGCTGTGGAGGGCCTTTTAACTCCTAGAGTGCTGGGGAGTCTGGGAGAGCGCCCGCAGCCGGGACAGGCTGCAGGGACAGCGGGTGCCACGTCCGACCCGTGACGTATGTGAGTTATTTACGGAGACGGCGATGCGCAGGGTGTGGGGGAAGCGGACCTCAGAGGTCATGCGGTCACCCTGCTTGTCAGAGCAGGAGTCTCTCTCTTTTTTTTAAAATAAATATCTTTTTATTGATTTCAGAGAGGAAGGGAGAGGGAGGGGGAGATAGAAACATCAGTGATAAGAGAGAATCATGGATCGGCTGCCTCCTGCACACCCCCCACTGGGGAACGAGCCCACAACCCGGGCGGGTGCCCTGTTTGGGAATCGAACCCGGGACCCTTCAGTCCCTAGGCCAACGCTCTATCCACTGAGCCACACCGGCCACGGCAGGACTCTGCTCTTTATCACCG